TATAGTTAAAAAATTTAAATATTTTAAGCCAGAGTGGTGGCAATCAAGCATGCGGTTGATTGAATGGTAAATGGTTACCGTATCCTATGGACGCCTGAAACATGAGTGTGACATACGCGTAATGACCCTTAAGAAATTTTAATAACCTTCTTGAATAGTCAAACAATCAGATTTATGTGTATAAAATTCAGAAGTTTTAATTTGTGTAAGAGACGAAATTCCATCCAAGAAGGGTCCATCGTGTGGCAGAGAGCGAATTTCCCCCAGTCCCCGGGACACCCTGACGGTGTAGGTTTAAGGGGTCGATTCAACGACGTACGCCAACACACACATTATTTGCTCATGTTTCTCTGCCTGCCCAGCCAAATATGATAGGACCTCGCTAAAGCAGCTTTAGATACACGTTCTAGTATAGAACTTACTGCAGTTCTAAATAGGCCAAGATCTTTTAGAAGATACCTCTCGCTCCCACATCGACCGCTCATAAATTAACCAAGTAGCCATTTTATTGAAATGTTAGGTACGGAAAATAGTGTTACCAGGATGAATTTATATTAACTGGCAACCCTAAGTTGTCAGCAGCGTTTCGGCCTTGCCGGGTTCAGAATTGAGAATAATAATTGAAAGATCGCCTCGCTTGCGCACTTTGGCTGTCACGCGGCGTGCGAATGATAGAGGAATGCAGATGACAGTGATGTGGCCAATGATTGGTTCCTGTAGCTATGCTTGATGATTTTAACCTCTGTACTCAGCGTTAGGATATTGCCCCAAATGACGATGAACATTCCGCGCGTCATGATTTTCTTGTACATGTTGGGTACGATATAAATGTGATTTTGTACAAAAAACATACTTTGACCGAAAACCTGAGAGATGAAATAATTATTCAGTGTTTATAAATACATGAGAAATAAAATATAATTAATAGAAACAATGGAAATTGCTTCACTCAGCTTTATGGCAATGTTATAATAGCATATTCTATCTGACAATGCAACTGATTTCTTGTGTTATCATTATGAAATAGATAGGGTGCCATAAATTTTAATTTTAGAATTTACAAAAATAATAATAATAATTCTAGAAATAAATATTTTAATATTTAAATTAAGAAAAAAATTTAATTTATTTTATTATAAAATCGTTTATTATTGTTTGAGTTGTTGGATTACAATGAATGAGTAGAGGGTAAATGAACTCTGTTTGGATATAGCAAAATTTCTCATATGTTGGTATTTCAGAGTACTATAAGGTATCATACCTACGTACCCTTTAATTTCACTGTCATGTCTCACCTTTCAACTGAGACACAGCTTACACAGAACTGCTTAGCAAGTGAAGGTACGGCTGAGGTGACGTATAAATTCTGTATAAATTATTTATCAATAAACTATTAGTGTTAGAAACCGACAAACTATATTTAATGTGTAGGTAACGCGAAAGTTTATACTGAATAACTATTACTCACTATTAACATTGTTATCAGCTGTTATCAGTATTACGTGTAACCCGCGCCCGCGCGATTGTGACGTATTATCATCGCAATGCAGTAAGTACAGATAATATCGATTTATTAACGAATACCAACAAGTTATTACCATTGTAAAAAAAATCGCTAATCGCCGGTTAATCTTGAAGATTTTTGCGCGTTGAGTCATTCTTGAAAGGAATTTTTTCAGGGTCGTTAATTATCTTATAGATTGTTAACAGCAATATAGATCAAAATGTATATATATGTGATAGGCGCCGTCATATACCATTTCATTAATTATTGTACTAAGGCGCGGCATATACCTATAGGGTGAGTAGTAATCCATAAAAAAATGTCACTGGTTCTATACTTGATTTATTTCTATACTCTATCTGTTCTATACAGGGAGAGGATGAAAGGGGATGACGGTAAAGCGAAAAAGGATTATAAAGGACCAAACTGAAAACATGTCGCAATACTCATAAAACTGTTTTTTTTTCCAAACAGTGTTTATAATAAAAAAAAGGACGTTCATAGATACTGTGAGGTCACATAATCAATTTAGTATGAAAGATTACAATTTATTTTCAGTGCCAAAAATGAATATTTGGTTTATAATGGAAGTCACACAATAGATGCAAATTATATGTGTTTGTAGTTAATAGAAAATAGATGAGGAAAAATGTTAACGATGAATTTATCAGAATTATTATTGAGGGAACAATAGAAGAAATAAAGTTGAGGGGAAGACCAAGGCTTAACTACATCAAGCAAATTAAAGACAAACTTGGAGTCGTGTCGTATCAACATTTAAAAAGCATAATAATTGTCATGAAAAGGGGACTAAAGCTCCACCGACAAGAGTGCAGTAAATTATGAAATTATGAAAGAAGCTCTTAAATTATGAATGAATGAATAAATAGCTATTTTACTTATTCATGTAGGTCTTTTGCAGATTTATCATATGCTAAATCAATAATTGATTGAAGTCAATTTCACTGCCTATCTCACCTTTAAATCGAAACACAACTTATAAAGCAAGCAGCATGGCAGCTGAAATGGGCGAGACAGAAGTATTTTACAGTACTACCTAATACCTTGGTAAGGGGGAGAAAGCAATTCACCATGTTAGGTTGACCTCTACGCAGTTCCTCCTGGAAACCATCGCGATAAATTGCTGGTGAATTTATCACGATGGGCTAATTGACCTGACTTCCTATTTATCTTATCGTCCTACACTGGTGCTCAGCCAGAGTAAACCGTCGCCTGGAAATTCCATTGTGTGATCTATATTGTTCTATTGTGCTCTCAGAGCTCGCTACCCGTCAGTGACAAGAATTGAAGGATTTTCTTAGGAGCTATGGTTTTTATCTCCTCAGGGTATAGGGTATACTTTCCAAAGGTAATATTTCGCTTATGCATGAGTAGGCTACAATCACATAGGATGTATGGTGGCGTTTCCTCTTCAGCTTGGCAGAATCTGCATATTGTTGTTGTGCACAGCCCTAGACATATGTTTGTTCAATTTGCACTTGCTTGCTTGCTTTACAAGCTGTGTACTGTCAAAACACAGCTTGTTAAGCAAGCTGTTTTGCAGCTGAAATAAATGAGAACGTAGATACTTTTTTTCTACCACAGTACTACCTAATGGTGCCTTGGTGTGGTATTGTTATTAATGTATTATGGGAGTTACTGAATCTATACATCTATACATATAAATAAAATTGGTGTGTCTGTTTGTAATATTGAAATAACCGTTCTTTACTACATGCATATGAATATAAATACGGTACATGCCATAAAATAACATTTTCTACAATTTTTGTCTATCTGTCTGTCTGTCTGTTTGGTCCGGCTAATCTCTGAAATGGCTGGATAGATTTTGACGGGACATTTTTTGGCACGTATCTGATGTAATAATAAGTAATTTAGACTAATTTATTTAAAAAAAATTCCACACGGACGAAGTCGCGGGTACAGCTAGTCATATATGTGTTTATAGTCATTCTTTATGATTGTATGTAAACTGATAGCCATTAATCAATTCAGCGCGTATATCAAAGTTGCGTAGGTTTGGTTTAGCATAATGTTGCTCAGTCGGCGACCCGGTTAACTTTCAACCCAGCTATGCCAAGGTTCGTCCGATGCCCCTGTCTGTTTGTCTATTACGTTATAATGACTATAATATTAGTTCAACGAAAGTAGCTAGCCAAGCGTAGCTATTTATCTTAATTTGAATTGTTTGCCGATGCTTATTGTTGGCGTATTGGCTCAACCAATAGTCATGAATTTTTAATATGTGTACAGGTAAAATTTGGGATTGAAGAAATCGGCTATATATAATATTGATGGTCAATTAATGTAGGAAATCTCTTTTGGAAATAGGCTAAAAAAGTGTTCAGTTATAAATATAATATCTACAATTTATTTTAGCTATTAAACTTCTGTATACATTTCTGTAGGCTTCATACCACTTTGTATAGTTTTTTTTTAATTGACGAAGTTTATTTATGGGTTGTTTGTAAGAGCTTTGTTTATAGCGATAAAACCGGTTATTGTAATGAAATATATAATATAATCTTTCCACTATATTGGTTGTCTGTGCCATTTGCTACTTTATAATTGACACCTTTTTTGCTTAAAAATGTAAAGTTTTACAAAAAATATTTAATAGAGCAAAAGGCAAGTTTTTTATTCTTTTTGACTGATATTTAATTTCTATTTAGTGACAGATCAATGTGATTATATAAATATGTTTAAATTTAATAATAAACTGTAAACAGTTTTTTTTTCAAATATTGTAATGCTGGCCACAGCTGGCCTTTGCAGCTTTATCGAACCATAGGAGGCGAGTGCAGATGGCACTCCAAATCCACGGGACTTATGGAGCGACTGTAGGCCATAAGTCCTGCCGTCCTGCCTAACGTATACCTACGACTTAGTCTAAAAAAAAACATAGTCTGAATTAATAAACATAGTATTAATTTATTTACTCTGGCCATTGTCACATCGTTACTGTTGCCTGACCAGAGGTCACCTGACCACCAAGGTTGCGATATCTATTGTTCAAATCTTGAATAGCTAATGAGATTAGTTAATCTACACTACAGTAAGGTTTATATTAAATTGTCAAGTGAATGATTATCCTAAAATGATGGCGAGAACGAAATAGGAATGAGCAAGTTGTATTAATCAAAATCATCATTGAATTTTTTTATAAATTATGGGCTAATTTTTCATGGATGATGATGGAACAATTCTGCCTATTCTAACGGTCGTTATAAATTAATGAGACATCATTAGAAGATCATAAGATGATAGCTAATCGCAGCGGTTTCACTAAGAATTTGGTTTCTAGTAGGCTTCGCGTAGAGTTTACGTATTTATATTTTATTTATTACTTTTCCCTCCAGTCGTTACTTCGATATTCTGGGTATGAAAAGACGTGGTGATATATTGTATTATTATTAAATGCTACGAGATTAATGTAATATTATTTTTATGGAAGTAAATACTATTATTGTTACAGAGGTGACGCAGCTAGAAGACCCGAGGTTAGAATGGCTCAGCATCCAGGAGGCGATGCTGAGGGATTACCTCCATACAGCACAAGAAGCATTGGAGGTATGTTTACCATATTGTACTTAAGTATTAAGGATCTAGCTGTTTATTGCGATTTTGTTTACACAAATTCAATCTGTATATAAAAACAACCTGTATGTTATTTACATTTCAACTTTTTAACACCCTGTTTACATTATGTTTTAACAGATCAATGAATCCTTTAGGACTAGTCACTTTAAAGGATTAATATGTAATTAAATAATTACATACATATTATTGTAACGTATGTATTTTATATTCATATTATTATAACGAATATTATTTTGATTATATATGTATGAATATGCAATGTTTATTATCTTTATATATATATTTTTATTGTTGATGGATTTGACATACACCCTAAATATAATTCATCATTTGATTCTGAAATCACAAGTGGTTTCAGTCATCTTCTGATTGCCATCCAATTGTACAGGTAATTAACTAACAAGGTAATGGGAACTAGTTACCATTGCTAATAATATGCTAAAATTATGTATATCACATTGATCTCCAGGTCCTCCCTGGAAGTCATAGTGGTTTATTTCTGGCGAAATTGTCACGATGGAATAACTTATCTCACTTCTTGGTCAACCTATCATCCTCCACTGCAGCGCCGCAAGCCTATACCGTTAACATAGGTCGGTGAACAATTCCATCATCATCCCCTAAAAAGATCGAATTGTGTAGTCAATAGTAATCATATTAAATTCCTGTAATAATACAACGTAATTCATGTATTAATAATACGCCCATAAGGCGTTAAATTGTTTGGCAATATTATTATAAATAATATAATTTACAAAATATACAAAGATAAAGTATTATTATAACTTGTCACATTTATGAAATCATTGCAGTATCATTTATATCTTGTATATGTCACTAATGAAAATATTTATGAATTTCAAAGTGATCTATCATTTTCATTTCAGTGATAAGTGTCTGTGAAAATAATCATTAATGCGAATTTGTACGTATTATGAAATCTAACTCATTCTGGATATTATAATTACATATATTTAATATAAATATGATTAATAATATTAATATAATAATATTCAAACAGACCACAGTAAATGCCTAATTATTCTATTACGATCAATGTTCATTCAATTGTGTTAATTTCAACCAAAGGGTGTGCCACAGCTATTTTTCCGTATTGACACATGACAATAAATTAGATACATTATTCATATTAATATAGTTTTAGTAGTAGGTACATACACAAGCTCACTACATCAGCTTCATTTGATCGATAAACAAGTCAACAATAAATTAACTTCCAACATTCCAGTAGCTTTATCTACTGTATTTCGTACAGTTTCAAAACCACTTAATCTTATCGAACGATCATCGAATTAAAAGCAACTCGGTGTATTGTACAGAAACAGCGCTATGACTGGCAGCATTTCTTTATTCGTGCACGTTTTAACAAATCGATGGATACTCGAAATTGGACGATAGCATCTCGCTACCGCAGTAATGGACATAGAATCAAAATTAACGATGATTTAGCTCAAAATATAAACGAAAAAGGTTGCCACGTCAATATTAATAGATTACAAAATGGAGAAAGAAACGAATTAAATTGATCACAATCAGTAGATACAGACGCGTTTTTGAATGGCGTTGTTAAATTTAATCTTGATGAGGACAGCGTGAAGAAAATAATATAACAAACGCATTAAGGTACAAAACTCCTCCCCTTTCCGCGTTGACTCGATCACATCGAGCAGGAAATCATGAAGATTAGGTTTACGAGGTTGTTAAAACGAAAGGCTTTAATTATTTTAAGCGCGATAGGCGTGTTGTAGAAACTATCAGATATCCGTTTTGGGGATACATCAAGAAACTAGTAGATGGTATATTTGGGTATAGCAGTATTGCCGAGCGGAGATTTGAATATTTGATTAAAGAAATAGCGGTAAGTACGAAAATTGAAGAAAACACTATATACAATCATTATAGTATTGAAAATCGTAAGTTTCAACACTATGATGATGAATAAAATCATGAGATAATTTAACGATAACAATATTTAAAGATGCATACAGCTCAATCAGATGATTTAACGGCTTATTTAATAAATCTATTTTTTAATCTAATTAGAATAGCAAACGGCTCATCTAATGGTTAGTGTTGATAGCAAATATATGCACATGTAATACCCATAATACTATTAATACGTTGCCATTTCGGAGACCTAAGATGTCAAGCCACGTATCCTGTGATTTTACTGCGTTATCAATGTTGATATATGCCATTCAACTGAGATACATTTTACAAAGCAAACTCCTTGGCGGCTAAAATATGTGAGACTTAGGTACTCAGGCGGACTATTTTTTCCAAGGTGTACCGCGGTCTGCTTTAAATTATTAATTTCTCACACATGCAATCCAACTTGTAAGGGCCGATAATTAAAAAGAGATAGTATCAAATCATTTAGCTATAATTAATATAGTAGATGGTACATTAAGTGCGTGATCCATGCTCCTCCAGATAACAATGGAATGCGATGATGCTGATAGCGTGAGATAAGAGATAAGTGCCAAGTGGCGACTTATATTGTTTCGAATTGAACATGCGATGGGAAATGGTCTTTGACTCAACGATGCTGATGGATTCATCTAATTTGTTCCGAGCTATCCGGTTAGATAACATCTTATATTTTACAATTTCTCTGTTAGAAATTACTGAACTTTGATTGTATCTTAGAAAGTTGGTGACCTTATCAAAAAAGATAAATGCTAACTAAATGTTAAACTATTAAAAATAAACTGCATGCCTTTTGGCTTTTGTATTGTAGGTATATAGTTCTAAAACATTAAAACCTTATATATATATATATATATATATATTAAATAACAAATATTGTTCTAATTACACAATATTTTAATGTTCCTGAAATACCAAACAAGATTTTGAAGACGGTAAATAGCAATCGTCGTCTATATATGTAAACGGACGAATAATATAAAAGATACATGATAATGTGAAAAAAAATCGCTCACTGATAAGCTACTTTACCAATAAATAACATAATCTATATTGCATGATAGCAACAAAAAGACAAAACTGATCCTGTGACCCAACATAGATATTCAAAAGTAATGGATCAAATCCATTCAGGGTATGGATCCATATCAGTGTACGGTCGGTTGATTTTACGACGTAATAAAAAACGACAAGTGTATGTTATTTATGCATTCGTATCATTCTCATATTTTATCTGACTGTGGAATGCGCCATGATTACTCAAGATGGAGGAGTAAATGTCATCGGAGATAACCTTCGTAGTTCTCAATTGACGTCAATTGATTGATAACGCGGTTGTAAACAAAAAGATACAATATATTGATCAATTAAATGTACGGCTACCGCTGACCCGCTGAACTTTATTTGCGAATTTTATTTATTTTTTGCTATTGGTAATCTTCTGTACCTATATGCAACTCTGTTCTGGCAATCTAAACAATTTTGCAGCATTTTCCCTCTTTATATGCAACTGACAGCATATTTCTCGTAATCATATTTTGTCACTTTTTAAATAATGTTTTAAATGAAGCTACCGAATAATTAAAATTAATAATAAGTAATGTAACGTTTGTTTTTTATTAATTTTAATTATTTTAAAAAGATATGTATGTAATTTCAGCTGCAAATAACTAAACGAACGAAACTATTTTTGGAAACATAATAAAATAATTAAAATATAATAATTTATTTATCATCGTAAATTCATTTTTGCAATTCCAGTACAGATTATTTGTCAATTCTTATTTATTTATTTGGACAAGAGTATATTTATTTACAGGTGAATTTATTTATAGGTTAGATATAGTGATTTTACATTACACTACTTTACATTATAGCTACTAAAGTAGATAATAAATATTAATTGAATATATATAGTTTTTTGTATAATATATAGTACAAAAAATATTCAGATAAAGAATCTGAATATTTTTAAAACCTTCCGATATTTCGAGTGTTATTCGATTTTTCTTCTGGTTTTAAAATGCTTTCAAGAACTAAACACTCTATTCCATGATTCACACAAAACTCGCCAACCTTTTATATTTAGAAATTCCGATTACAGATACCGATTGGCGAATACTATTTTATTATACTTTTTCCTCAAAATTTGCAAAAAGTTACAGCATGTTCATATTCTTTATATACTTCACTTTGCACGCAACATCCATAACTGTTTGTTATATACAAAATAAGCAATTACACAGACATTTGTATCGTTTATTGACTGGTTACCTATACAACAATGAAGAGCCTATAAAACTGTTTTTAACTAACTTCATAACGAGGAGGTAATTGTGAATATATGCTTGTGTGACAAGCGTTCACAAAAAATACAGTTAATTATATAGTATATATACATGTTGTACAATATTAACCTGAACAGATTTTGATGACCCATTGGATTTTACGATGGTTTTAAATTAAACTTTGTTTTAGGTTACTTAGGTTCGTATTACTTTGGATTGCATTAGGATTTTTGTGAAACAAGTATATAAGTATAATATATACTTGTTTCACGAAAATATGAATGCAATAAATAAACAAGTATATAAATATAGTATATATATGTAGTTTTGAGATAGACTTCTGTGATAGGTACACTTACACCCGTGCAAATCCGAGCTGGTTGGTTAGTACAAAACGTAATACCAATCGCATGTACATATATCTATGTACTGCGTTAACTCCAAAATGCAAAACTAAACATAAAGTTTAAAGGGTTATAGTCCATTTTACAACATGTATACAATTAACTACAAATGTCATTTTTTCAAACTAGACTTTAAATTTAATATTTTATAGTCCATATTTCAAAATTAGTAATAAGTGAGTTAATGCAATATTGTGTTAAGTGTGCGACTTAATAATTATATTGTAGAATTTGATACTGCGACGTCATAAATTGTGTACAGTCATGTACTACAATCTTTTTCCTTCAATTATTGCATTATTGCATATTAAAGACGAGCCGTATGCTTGATTGCCACCATAGTAGTATAAAA